AAAGTAATTAGGAGTGTATGCGAGGGCCCTATTATCTAGTTGGGTAGAGCACAGGTAGGCTGAGAGGCCAAAAATACATAGAGATTACCAGGCTATGGGCTTAGGGCAGGCTACAGGCTAACTACCTCAATCCGCTCCGAACCTCCACCCCAAAACCTCGCCCGGAAACCCCGCCCCTTTCCGACGACAACGCGTCCCATAAGGAAATTCCAGAGTCGCGATTGCGTTCACGTTGATAAGGGGCCGCATTTAGTTAGATCTCGAAAGTAGATCCTTAGGTAGCAATTTCAGGCCCCTATAGTAACTTACAAAATCATACCTCTGTAGATGGCAACATACAAACTCATACCCCTTTGGGATTCTGAAAATGTAACTTGCCCGATCAATCTGTGACGGTCTCCTTCGTGGACCTGAGTATCGGTAACATTTCGTCCACCAGGACTTTTTGCTTCTGCAATTTCTGTGCTTGGTGACGGAATTGATCGTAGATTGCTCGGCCCTCCTGAATTAGCTCATCGATTTCAACTGGTGATGGTTGCTTGTCATGCCGTTGAGCGAGTGCTGCAGCGATAGCTCGACAGTCTTCCTCGAAAGACAGGCCTTGGTGCATCTCTCCGCCAGAGGATGAAACTGGGACTGGCGCTCGATCGTTATCATCAACTGTTACTGGAATTCGCTGATCACGCTGACTCACGCTGAGCGAGTCAAATGGCAGAGACATGGTCGAGATGCTGCCCGCAGTCTCATCTGAAATGCCATCGGTAGCGACCAGACCCTTCTCAGGACTCGATGACTTAGGCAGTCGGCATCTCTTGCGTGGAGATGCGTTACGGCCAAAGACAATTGCACCACCATCATGGAGCTTCACCGGACGATTAGGATTCTGATCCACTATTTGCTGCAACCGATTGCATCCCTTTCTAGACTCATAATCGCATGGACCCCATGGATTGCTTCCAGATGGTCGCGACCAATAGCATTTGTCCGTCAACTTGCGGCCTTTGTCTCCTCCATTGCAATGACGTGCCAAGTCTTTCAAAGATTGCACAGAAGCCACTAGGTAATTCTCTCCCGAAGGCATTGGGTTCCACTTGCGACAAGTCTGTTCCGGCTGAGCTGGGCGAATTGGAGCAGCTATGTTCCTGCAGAACAGAAGCAACACATCAGGATGGTTGGCTATGGAAGTGACCCATCTGTCATTGGAGTTCTTGTGGACTGATATTTCCTTCCTCGATGTGTTGTCTCTTCCGTCAATCATATCGGCCATGTCCCATCCGTAAAGCCTCGGCGACTGAACCCTAGACAGCAGGTATGAGACTGAACTGGATGACTGTGATCGATCTTTTGTATCTCTGCAGGCTCTGAGTAAACGGACAGAATCCTTCACGATATCCATGAATTTCCAAGTCGATGTGCCACCGGTGCGCTCCAAATCAAGCGACTGGTGTTTTCTGATTGCGTTCATTGCAGCGCTACCCCCATCTTCAGCTATGGCTGCAGACGGTAACTTTTCGATTTCATTTCTTGCAAGGTCTTTCCTTTCGAGGAACCAAGACCGTGTCATGTGCAGCACCACACTGATCTCTGGCACTAGCCATGCAAGACTGGTGGCAACGTCATACATAATCACCGCTGTCCCCCGAGACAAGTCCAGTACCTTGTCGAAGTTCTCCCGTTCTGCCATCCTGGCGACTGTGGTCTTGGTGAAGCCTATCTCGCCAGCAGCTCCGAATCCAAAAGCGCCCATACCGGCGGTTCCCATATTGACAGTGACCTTTTTTTGCCAGAACGCCCGGCTTGTCTCAATCAATGCGCCCGACACATCTTCTGAACGTTGCGGCTCAAACATCTTCGTCCCCAAGTGAATATTTGCAGAGTCGCAGAAGCCTATAAAGGACCGTGACATTCTAATTGAGTCGAGGCCGACATCCTTCCAATTCGCTACATAGGCGACAGAAGACAGTGCTTGAAGTATCCGCGGATCGTCTGGAACGTCACATGCTACTAAATGCCATTGGATCGAGCCGAAGTCCACGGAAGCTTTCACTGGATACAGCAGGGTTGACCATCCCTTCATAATGGTGACGTCTTGGATATGGACAGGATATTGGATGCCCGCAAGAGGAATGATCGCATCTAAAGACATTTCAACTCCCACTTCACTGCCCCTTTGAGGAATCGGGAACCCATGAGAGATGACGCCACCATGTAACAACGATGGCCAGCATGACGCATTACTTTCGGAGGCTTCCTTGAGTGGCAATGGTGACAACGAAAACCGGTCTGTGTCTTGATTGTCGATTTGAAAATGCGAGTACATTGTCTTATCTGAGTCTCGATCTTTTCTCGTTTGGAAGACGCCCATCATCCAGGCCAATTGCTGTGCTACTTGAACAGTTTGTCTTTTAGATCCTTGGACTTTGATCTGGGGACCTCTTGAGCGTCTCACTTCAACTCCGAAATCTCCGTCAAAGGAACTGAACGTTTCGTAGTAACAACCTATTTTGTCTTGTTTCATTGCCTTCTCTATGGCACTTAGAGTGACCATCCCCGTTTCTGGCCATATCTTCTCCACGTACTCTTTACTGGTTGCGGCCCATGCAGCATCAACCGAGCCAGTGAAAGTAATCATAGAGCCTAGCCTCTGCGATTTGTCCATTTCGTCCTGGAAGTACGTGTGGTCCCACGCAACATCGAAGAATGTCTCGCCCAGATCCACAAACTCTAAGGAATCCATAACAGACTCGATGTGCTGCATTGGGTTGTCGGCACTGAGACAATTGGAAAGATGCTGTCGAATGCGCTCGAAGACGGTCTTGGAAAGGACTTGATCCCTCACATCGTGCAAACGCAAGACTTATACAGGTCATTTGTGTCAAGCTTACAAGTCTAGTTCGAATCCGTGCCTACCTTGACCATTGTATGCTCTCTCAACACCATTTAGCTTTGAGTACAGCCACTCACTGAGAACTTCGTGGTTGTTTTCAAGATGGTGACTAATATCATGTTTTCTTCGGCCCTCGTGCGACGCTGCCTTCTTCCATTCCTGTCCACATTGCTCTAGTAATCGGCCTAGGATGGAGGAGAATGTTGCGTGATCGTATTGATGAGCAGCTTCTTGCAATCTGCTCCGAGAACGGGCATCGGAAAGCAGCCAAAAGCCAAGGCTGTCGATGGTAGAGTCGACCTCAAGTTGCGCCTTGTGCCAATCAATTGTCTGCCGAGGCTAGATTGGTCTTCGGGAAGGCGCATCGTGGAGATTAATAGCCTACAGAGTCTCAGCGAGTTGAGGGAAACCCATTGCCAGAGATAGGCTTTTGACTCACATCGGCTGAGCCAACTGCAAGCCAAGACATTTCTATACAGCCTTACACCAAGTCTAGTTCACACAAATGTAGTTATAAACTTCACACTCGTTAAACTTTGTATAAGGAAAGATGAATTCATGGCCAGGAAGGTGAAAAGGTTGACAAGTGTAGAAGACATTGATCTTGTTAATAGCGGAAGGCTGAAGCCGACTAGTTGCTCGGGTCTAGAACAGGGCGGACCGAGGCGGAAGGTAGTAGCACGGGATCTAGTCCTACTCTCGGAAGGCGGCCCTAAGGAATCTCTAGGGGACCGGGAATACTCCTATTAGCGCATACTTTAATATGAAGGCTTTAAGTAGGAATAGTGATGTGATTTTGGCTTTGCAGTAATTACACTTTATAGTAATTACACGTATAATTACTGTAAGATACATAAGCCTAACGATTACGCTAGTAGGGTGCTAGTAGATACTTAATTAAAAAGCTTACTTTCTTAATACTTAAGACTTAAAAATAAGAATAGATATTATATTAAAGGGCTAGTAATTAATTAGATAATTAAATTCTATTATTTCTAATTTAAAATATATCTTATTTCTTTATTTTTAATCTAAATATAGATATATATAAGTATATTTAAAAGAGAAAGTTAGAAAAAAACTTTAAAATTCTTAAATATATCTTTTTTAATTTTTTTTCTTTTATTAAAGTTATAATAATAAAATAAATTTATAAAGTTATAGATTAAATTATATACTTTTAAATAATATAGCGTAGATAAAATTTAATATCGTATTTATAAAGATATACTAAAAATTAAGATTTTTATTTAAATTATTAAGTTTACGAGAAGAGTTTCTTGAATAGAAGCTCTCGAAGAGCTCTTAAAGAGCTTTTAAAGGGTTAAAGGGGTTTTAGAGAGTCTCCCTCTAAGTATATTAACTATCTCTCTCGATTCTTAAAGTTAAACCCCTTAAATTTTTTTAAATCTTTCGAAGTTCTTTAAAGGCTTTTTAAGGGTTTTTATCGAAGGACCTATTAAAGTAAGCTCGAAATTAATTAAATATTATTAAAATCATTAAATTTTAAGCTTACTTTAATAATCCCTTCGATAAAAGCCCTCGAAGAGCTCTTAAAGAGCCCTCGAAGGGTTCGAGGGGTTTTAGAGAGTTTTTCTAAAAATTAAATAGTTAAAAACTAGTACTCGGCAAGCTTTTTACTATTGGGAAGCCTGCGCCCCAGCATATATTATTTGGCCTGAAAGCCTTCTATTGGGAGGTACTATTTTCGAATAATGTACTCGCCTTGAGGGTACTCTTGTGAGATTTCTGCCATAGCGTATTCAAGAAATGAGGCTATATACATCTAAGGTATGTGTGTGATGTAATAGGACGTCTTTCAATGCCTCGCTCGCCTTAATATCGGACTCATCGTCGCCAGCCAGCATATCTATAGGCTCCGGTGCAAATAGATAAGCAAAATTTCTTTGTAGAGAATTACCAAGACCATGGATTTGACCAATCAGAAGGCTTACATAAGGATTACTAAGTGTTTCATATGATTTACACGCTGTCAGGACTTTCGCGTGTGGACCTCCGTACCGCTCGGGATTTTACACAGCACAGTCCACCACTTCAAACTCCAGTCTACTGCCAGGGGCCCTTATAATACGCTTGCCCGTCGTTTTCTCTCCTATACCATCGCCTTTGCAGCCTTATCCGTATCGTCTCCACGGTCAGTCGTGCCCCGCAGACGATGCTGTGTCATGCCTAGCAACTCTTAACTCTTACCCTGTTATGATCAAACCGTCGCGTTACCATTACTATACACTCCGACGAGACCATGTGGACGTGTGGATATGATAAGCCGTATGAGGGTTGCTCGGACCGCCTGCAGATACATCTAGAGGCTAGATTGACCCAGAGGGAAGACATTTGAGTACGCCCAAGATTCTCGGCTCGGCGAGCCACCCCTCATCCCATTGCTGACATTGTATAGTCGATCCTCACGATCCTCCCTTCCCGGCGCTTTGGCTTGTCTGATGTGGACGACAGTCTTGTATGCGGCTCGAACGCCTTCCCCTCCGGCCATGCCCTCGGCCATTGCGAGACTACAAGTTCTTACCCCTACCGTCACCCTGCCTATCCTCGATGCGCGACACATAGAGAGTCACTGTACGCAAGCCATTCTATGATTAAAATCGGCTTGATCGTCGCCAACCGTCATCGCCCCCCTGGTTTTGGGCACAGATTGGTCATACTTCTCCCAGACACACACCGCTTTTCCACATATCGATAAATGGCAAAGTAGGGAAGACGAGAAAGATGGGCTACACAACGACGGATAAAGGCAAGAATGTTGTGATCCCGAGGTATTACTATCAGGAGTGTCGCCTGTCACAATGGCGTCTGAGTGCGTTGGGCAACGCCCGGCACTTCAGTGTCGAGGTGAGGACAGAAAACCTACTACGAAACATTGGTGGAGACCTTAGACATGTACCGATCTCGTCGCCCGCTTGCCATTAGTCCCATGTCCTCAGCCAAAGCAGTGCATCGTTTGCCCATTCATGGCGATTGCGGATCCAGTGGACGTTTCATTCTCCTACGACACACCGTTCAAACCTGCTGTTGGAAGACTATCCGCGACTGATCGGCTTCCTTTATTCCATACGATCCTCAGGACGCCCAAGCAAATTACTTGTACCTTATACACGCGCATCACCCTTATACCCGTCGTTCTTACGTGGCAGTTGGAGTCAGTCTACATCTGCACTGCTAGGCCATTTCCCGAACCGCGATTCATCCCAGTCCAAGTCTGATGTAATCCTTTGGATGCTCTGTCCATTTTTACGCATCGCATAAGCGTGTTTGCCTGTGGGTTTGCGATCTCTGGTGACACTATCCTGCAGAAGCCGAACGCGAGGACCTCAGGACAGAAGACCGAGAGAGATCAAGGCGCTGAGTTTCGACTCGACGGCGCGAGATGCACAACTAGTCATCGTCGTCCAAGCACCCACTGCCTTGGTACCCGGGTCGTTTGTGCCGCCAATGATTCCCACTCCCACTCATGTGTCTCTGTCATTGTCACATTTAGCACTGAATTGAAATTACGTAGGTGCCTGCTGGGGAGCCATCGACCGGGACGCAAGCTCAACTAACTTCTGCCCTGCTTGATTGTTGACTGTCATTTTCCGCGCGTTCTCGCCAAATCTCTCCCTTTATTTTTTGTGCTGCATCTCTTCGCCGGTGAATGTCCAATACTCGGCAAAGTGGAGAACTGCATGTTTCGGCATGGGGAAGTAGTTCGGGATATTCTTTACGTTCAGGCTAAAATGTAAAATCTCTTTTTAGCCTGATTTTCTCCGCAAAGCCCAACTTTCCTAGATAGCGCAGGACGTTCATCACTGGCTACCCCGCACTTTCTCCAGACCAGTTGCCAATCATCATTGGTGTGGAGTAGTCGTTATCATGCATAATCATTCTACGGGGTCTACCGCTTTCGCTGCAAAAGGCTTAGGATTATCGTTGAGCGTGCCGAATGATGCGGATCGACGTGGGGCACGAAGATGAACATGAAAAACATATGCCCTGGACATTGTTATGTGGGGTTATTGTTTATCGGACATACTTATTTGCCAAGCTCGTTTCGTCTCTTCTCTTCCTATCTTTACTTTTCTTTTTTTCACCACTTCCCTTTCTTTTGGATTGTCTCTATCATTCGAAAAGCCTCGCACAGCTTGTGGCTTTCTGCTCAGCACTACTACTTATCTCTCACTCTTCTCCAACATGCATATGCCAAAAATATACAATGTCTACTTCCTGGCCATCATCGCCACGGTTGGCGGCATGCTGTAAGTTCCTCATGCTCTTCCCATTCCAATAAGGTCTGGCTCATACTTCCTAGCTTCGGTTTCGACATCTCCTCCATCTCCGCCATCATTGGAACGAAGCAATATGTGGCTTACTTTAACAATCCTTCCGGTACTACTCAAGGTGGCATTGGTGCCGCCCTTGCTGGCGGCTCAGTGATTGGTGCCATAATGGCAGGTCCCGTATCCAATCGCATCGGACGGCGTGACGCCATCGCTTTTGCCTGTTTTTGGTGGCTGCTTGGGACCGCTATACAAGCGGGCTGTAACGGTATTGGCATGCTGGTTGCCGGTCGCTTCATAAACGGTATCTGCGTTGGTATCACGTCTTCGCAGGTCCCAGTGTATCTGGTCGAGATCACGAAGAAAGAGAGGAGAGGCTCTATTGTTGTCATTCAACAGTGGGCCATTGAGTGGGGTATCTTTATAATGTATTTTGCTGGATACGGTATGCTGCTTCCTACTCATTGTACCTGCCTTGATGCTGCGATCTATGTTCTGGTTATGCTCTCGGGACAGCTGGGTTTGACTTCCGGCATCTGCTAGAAGCCTGGAGTTCCTTGAAGGATACTGTGCTGACCCAAGAATCTTCGCTAGGCTGCTCATTCATCGCTGGGACGAACTCGTTCAGGACTGCTTGGGCTATTCAATTCATCCCATGTGTCTTTCTTCTAGCTGGTCTTCCGTTTCTACCGAGATCTCCACGCTGGCTTGCAAAGGTTGGACGCCTCGATGAGGCCATCAAGATCCTTGCCCGCATTCAAGCTGGCGGGGATGTGAATGATCCGCTTGTAGTGGCTGAGTGGGAAGAAATCACCACCATCCTAGCGGCTGAGCGAGGTAAGGATCCATCAGATTCATTGTCTACGACTTCCATGTCCCGCCCTCTGTTATGACAACCCTGTGGAAACCCGATTCCTTAACGCTGGGTTTATACCAATATTGTCTTAATAGTTTATATACTAACTCAAGCTTTCTCACAGCTGGTCAACAAGGCTGGCGCCGATTCTTCAAAAACGGCATGTGGAAGCGTACCTTTGCAGGAATGTCTGTGCAAGCCTGGCAACAACTTTCCGGCGCAAACGTCATGACCTACTATGTAGTTTATATCTTCGACATGGCCGGCCTAACGGGAAACATCGGACTCATCTCCTCCGGGATCCAATACGCCGTCTTCATCCTCGGGACAGCGGCCACATTCTTCTTCATCGATGTGACCGGCCGTAGGCCCCTCCTTATTTACGGGGCCGTCGGTATGGGTATCTGTATGTTTGTCGTTGGGGGTGTACTGGGCTCTTATGGCACTCCGCTTCCGAACGGTCTCAGTGGGAATCTCAGCGTCAAGGTCCAGGTGACTGGCCCGCCTGCAAACACCGTCATCGCTTTCTGCTATCTACTGGTGCTTACATATTCCATTACCTTGGCGCCTATCGCCTGGGTCTACGCCGCCGAAGTATGGTCCCTCGAGACCCGTGCCACAGGCATGGCCCTCGCCTCCATTGCCAATTGGCTCTTCAACTTCGCCATCGGCTTCTTCATCCCGCCCGCCTTTGAGAACATCTCTTGGAAACTCTTCATCATATTCGGCGTACTGTGCTTTGGCGCCGCGGTGCAGGCGTTCTTCACCTATCCGGAGACGGCGGGCAAGACGATTGAGGAGATCGAGATGTTGTTCAGCAAAGGGGCGATCAAGCCGTGGAAGACAAAGCCAGGGAACAGTCTGTTGGACGCGAAGATTGAGGAGGTCAAGGCGCAGCACAAGGGTATCGGGGATGTGGCGGGTGAGAAGACTGGGGTGACGCAACAGGAGTATACGCAGGAGGTGCAGGCTAAGATTGCTTGAAGGAGGATCGTGCTGCGGCGGAATCCCCGTGAGTAACGGCGAGAAAGACAATGCAATGTGATTAAACTGAACGACGCTGGATGATCAACAGCCAGCAATGTGGTCTGTTACGTAGTGAGCGCATAACCATACTTATACCATCACATCTATCACAATCGAGCGGTGCCTAACGTCCGTCCAATTCCAACATTCGTCAAGATGGTTTCCCTCGCTGAGAGCTTTCAGCTCAGCCGGCGTCGCGGTCTCGGCGGGATGACCGAACGCTCCTATTGCACACCTGGGCGGTGCCATCGGTGGGTAAGTGTGTGAATTACTGAGCATGCGGAGGGTTCACGCCCGACCCATCCGTCATCACTATAGCCACCGATCCCGTACCCCGGAATTCAATTAGAGAGGTCACCATTTGGAGATTTAACCATTGCAGTTGGGATCGCCCGGTCGATAATCGTCAGCGCGGTCTTCTGCTTCTGTTCCACGAGCTGTCGTGTCAATAACAGGCTCGCGACCCCGAACGTCCACGTGAGCGCGCTTATTATCGTTGATAAGACCGCTCGAGATTGTTCTGTTTGGTTGGAAATCCTCGCCATCTTGACTATTCGCGATGGATGGGAAGCTTCTCTGTATCGCGATTAGCGTTTGGATCATGCGGGATTCTGGCAGGATGGATGGGTGGGAGAGCGGTGGAGGGTCGTGCGTGGGAAATATTCGGACATCGCGGAGAGAGAATCGCGGGGATTGGGATTCGGGCGTCGCGTTGTGACTTTGGGTTGAGTTCACTTATTTGTTGTTATCCCTGCATGATATGCCGCAGGATGGCGTATTACCTCCTCAACGGCATTTCCATGTGTTGAATTTCTTGTGGCTTGAAGGGTTGAAGCATCTCGGTTCGTGGCAGGCGAGGCGGGCCGATCGAGCAATGTGCGTCTGAGGGCTTCGTTTTCCAACCGGCTGTTCGGGGTTTCCTGTTGGGCCTTCCGTCTCGATCGGCATTGCTTCATGCATTGTGCCTGTGCGGGAGAAATAGTGGGAAGGACAGCCAGTCGTTGTGTCGTGCCGGTGTGTCACTGTCTTTAGATGTTTCCGCGGGGATTTGGAAGGAAAGGATGTGTCTTTGCGTCTGGGATTCGACTTCCCAGGCCGTTTGGTGGCTTTTGAGGCACGGCGGTCACAGTGCTTCGAATCGACATCCGAGCTCTGGGTCACGGCGAATCGCTGTTGCTGGCGGATTAGTCGTGGAGATCTGAGATTATGGGATTTTGGTTGCATCAGCTAGCTGTCCAACTCTTTAAAATTTCAGCGTGCCCAGCTATGGACATGAAATCTGGCCCCCTCACTTCCCTAGACTATATTGGTACTTTTCGTCATCATGTCGCATGTCTACCCACCCTAACCCTCACCGTGTGCCTGCACAGCCAGCCCTTGGGCATGTTGCGTCTCGGAACCCAAACGCCTTTACCTCATACAACCCCGTTTGGGCCTAAACGCCGTTCCATGATCACCCACGCAGCAGCTTGTTGTCAGTACAACCGGTCATTATAGTCCAACCTCTTACTGCTCGAGAGGAAAATCTCGGTCTTGACCCGTATGACTCCCCGCGGCGGTTCCACGTCGCTCATCCGCTCCATTTCAACGCCGTCGCCGTCGGCCTGTTGTCCTCGTCCCCCGTACACGGTGACGTTGTGCCCGTCCATTCCGTGGTCGTATACCCGGGGCCCCTTTGGGTCCCGCCACGGCAGCCTTTGCGTCTTGGGGGCGTTGCCGTCGTGTTCTTCTTTGAGTCGGGCGAAGGTGGTCGGGTCGCGGTTCTTGCGGCTGGATTGGTTGCTCTTGAGGACGGAGGAGGAGGTGGTGGTGGTGGTGCTTTGGAAGGTTTGAGAGGCGGTGGCGGCGAAGGAGCGGTAGGCGTTGTTGTCGAGGAGGAGGGTGAGTAGGGGGCGGAGCGATGGGAGGCACTATGAAGGGTTCCGAGTCAGCGGCGCTTGAAATTGGAGATGGGGGATAACAGTAATACTTACGGCCCCGAGAATCCCCGCTATGGGCTCCACAGCAGACCAGATTGAGACCCAGACAAAGTTCCCTAGATATGGGGCGTCAGCCGAAAAGCAAGGGATTTTGTAAGAAGAAAGATCCTGGGCACGAGAGACTTACATGTGACGTCAGATGGGTCAGCTCTTGAGAAGCTGATGATTCGAACAATACTGACGATGCAGACACTGTCATTTCGATGAGCGGAAGATTTTGATGGAGGGCGCAAAGTGGTTATCTGGACTTACAACCCTGCAGTGAGGAAGATACCGGTTAAGATACTTTTTTGCCGTGTTGAAGTCCGCAGACGCCACAGCAGAGGTACGGGCTTGACGAGAGGTCAGAAATTGACTGACTATCATAAAGACTGGACCGATTTTACCAAGCAAACGATCATGAAGTCCAGTAGGGTATTGACGGACCCTGATACGGCCAAGTTGTTCTTGGGGTTTATGCAATAGCCAGGTAACTCAAATTCCCAGAATTTCCGAATCGGACGGCTGATATGTCAGTCAGTCCCGGGGGAAACTGAATTAGGGCTACGTACCATTGGAAGATGATGAGTGTGGAGACCGCCGTGGTATACATAACAACGACGGTGGTCATGACGATCAGGATGAGTCTCAGCTCTGCAATTGGAAATATGCGTCGATAAAATGCCAGTCTAAGAGAAGTAGGAGGTCGGTCAGCAAACGAGAAATTTAGTAGTGAGACTTGATGATTAAAGAGTGGCCTACATGGTAAGCTTGGTTGCACCGGTGGCCAAGGTAAAGAAGAGCTGGAAGAAATAGAGAGTGTGAAAATAGCCTGTGGCAGCCTCCATGGCACCCGCTTTGCCAAAGACGTAGATGTGCTTGCCAAAACCAACGTGTTTGACAGCTAGATTCATCGTCAATCACATTCCCCTGTATGCTCGCTCGGAATTGGAGAATCCAACTTACCGACAATACTACAGATGCACGGGGCGATGGCAAGAAGCTGTCCGCCGAAGTTTAGATGGCAATGTGGGTAAGTATGGAGAGTAGAGTCGGCAGCGTACCAATGCTACTATTATCAGCACATCATCCCACTATCATGCAACGGATCTGTCAGTGGAACTTCCTTTCGCTTCGGAACATGATGGAGCTCACCCAGAAGCCAGCACGAGCCAGATGCCTCGAGGTCAGACGTAAGATAACGAAGGTGGAGGCAAGAGCGATGAGCGCGATCATGGTACCCAATACCTTGCCGCCTTGGTCGTCATGCAGATTGAGTCCCGGCGGCGGGCCAGGCATGCTGGGTGGCCCCGACATGGTTTGGGTTGATGAAGATGCTGGGGTTAGATGGTAATTGCAAGGTCGGACATGTTGTTATTGTCGATGTTGTCGGAGATGAAGTGCGTCAGACAATAAGAATGGTCAGGATGCAGAAGAGAGTGAGGGCAGGAAATGGTGGGTTTAATCAAAATGATAATGGCGTAAGTCAGAGGTTCCAAGACCAAGCTCGATCTTGGGCGGAAAAGGTAGATACGGAGTAGAATCAAACTGTATCTGACATGGGAAGTCACTTATGTATTGATGTATCAGAAATTAGTATCAGAAATTAGAGATAGGGAATCAAATAGACTCTCAAGCCAAGGTACTGGTGGAAGTTAAAATGCATTGCCCCGCGAACTATCTGCCCGTCATTGTTATACAATTCCTAAGGTATATATATAATACTGTAATGATGTAATTAATTGAGGTGCAGGGAGGAAAGCTGAAGGATTAAAAGAGAGGATCTTGCAGGGTTTCAAAAGACAAGCCATGGCACGGTCTTTCAACATCCAGACGCAGGAGACCGTAATCATGTTTCAACATGGACAATTGATGATGATGATGGTGGTGGTGGTGATGATGATGATGATGATGATTTGTTCAAATTATACGGCCATTAGACATTTCATTCATTTAAATTCCAAAGGATGCCGCCATTCTGCAGGAGTTAGGTTTCAAATGGCGCTTCAAACATCACGTCCGGACTCGAAACTCCTCGAAACTCAAGCCACGCCGCTTTCTCCCCTTTTGTCTTCTTCTCCTTTTCTGCGCCCTAGCTAGTCTAACCTTATTTATCACACATAGCCGTGACCCAGCCATGGGCAAGACTTGACGATGGAACGCCATTTGATTGGAGGAGAGGGGAATTCAGGAGAAGATTCCGCCTCTTTTTTGCTTTCAGTGGCGTGACTGTGCCCCGCTGATCTGCGACAGAGGCACGTGCGCCATATGTAAGGTGCATCTTAGCGATCAGGCTACCGGATGTCGAAAACCAAGTGTGAATCTTAATATCTTAGGGTTAGGGTTAGCAAAGAAATATGTATTCAAGGCAGAGCACCGAAGATCAGCTTTTCGCTGCAACTAATGCTCTAATCTAATCATCGTCCCCCACTTATACCCTTGTCTCCTCAAATTGCATCTCTTCTCCTTCTTCATTCTAAGAACCTGACGAAGAAATGAAAAAAAAGGTCTTGCCAGATGGTCCGGAGGTCAGATCTTCCTAGTCACGCAGGGTCTGGGTGTTCCAGTCATCGACTCAGCCAAGGAAGCTTAACAGCGAAAGCATGCAATCGGGGAGGTTGCTGCCAAACCTACATGTGACACGAGCGAAGTTTGAGGTCGGAAGGTATCTGCATTGCCAGCCGTTGGCCTTGATGATGGCTTGTGTACAAGATCAGCAAACCGGACAAAATGCTGACGTAGGGAAAGCAGGCGCTGTTCAACAGAGAGAGCTTAATTCGTGGCTTTGAGCAAAAGGATAAGACCGTTCGGAGCCAAAAAGCTGGCTCCCCAGCAGCCCGAGGACGATGAGCAATCTTGTTCCTGGGATTTTCCCGTCGCATGTACACTTCCATCTCGGTTGTCAATCTCTTTATCATTCATTATTGTGCGTTAAGTGCAGTAGCCTTCTATCCCATGCGATTTCTTCGTCGCAAACAAAGACTCTCCCGAAGACTTTGCCGCTAGCGAAACGATCAAGGTAGGCCTGAAAGGGGAACTGATCAAGAAAGAAGCTGTGATACGAGCAAAACTTATACACATAGAGGAGTGGGAATGAAGTCCATGAGTACTCCAATCTTTCAACCTCCCACGAATACCGCTTCCGCAGACAAATGTCCCTTTCACACCACCACGTAATTTCCCAACAAACTCAAAGTCCACATATACCGTACCATCAGATTCTTAGATCCTCAATCCAGTCACTTCTCCACCAGGTGAGCACCATGGCACCCGCGCCCCCAAAATGTGAAAAGGCCGTCACCAGGTACGACAACAAAATCACCCCAAAACCCGCCGTCAAGTACGAACCCACCTCCACCCCCACCCCCAAACCCAAAGGTAAGGCCGCTCGCAAATCTAAGACCACGGTAGGCCTCGAGTCCCGGCCGAAACTCGGCTGCGTTACACCCGAGCTCACCAAGGCGCTGAACCATATGGCCCGTGGCTTTACGCCGATTTCTGACAGGAAGCTCATCGAAGAGTTTTTCCGCTATCATCGGTACCAGTTGAGGTAGGATCTTGGTTTTGAGGCTACGGGATTATGAGCCTGGATTTATTGGTGATAGGGCGGGTATTTTTGGTTATGATTGGTATGGAAATGCTCTTGCTTCAATACATCGCAGCAGAGTATGCCATGGTATCAGCCGTTCATACTGTTGTTGGCGGACAAGTTGTGGTCCAAGTTTTCTTTGAGTTTTCTCCTCTCGCTTTTGTATAGCACTCAGAAGGTTTACTTGAGTGAGTGTTAGGATTTGCGGATGAAAATTGTTTACCTCCTTAACCAAATGGAATCAATAAGTCCCCTGGGGTCCTGACCCGCCCGCGCCAGCAAGACCGGGTATACAGCGCGCATAGCTTGATCTCCATCACCAGCAAAGAGCTAGGTAGGAGATGACTGTGATTGAGGCTACTTTGACGAGGAGCACTGTGTAGTCGATCCTCACTGCGTTCAATTAGTCGGCTACCTGCAAGCAGCCTTGTGTCTCGTAGGTTCGTGTCGTCGCGACGAGATGCGTGCGAGTGTTCACCGGTGGTCGGCGTGCTGGGTCATACGACGAGAGTTGTGCTGAGGATACTTGTTCTTGAATCGGCCTCTGACATGGCCATGAACTCTGCGGCCTCGATGGAATGCGACAGCAGCAATCGGGTTGAGTAGGTGAGTGGGGCGGACCAGTTGTGGTTCTGTGTAGGATTGTTCTAGAAACTAGCCTGTCGACTGGACTCGGACCCTCCGTGAGCTGGACGGCGCAAGTGAAAGAGACGCGGCAATCAGATTGGTGGCTTTGGAACGGAAGGATCGATTAGTACTAACTCTGTGCTTACGGACGTCGGCATCTCTACTTGTCAAATGCCTCACGTGTTATCCGTACATTCCTAAACGCCGAAATGCATGAACTCGGCCTTCATATGCATCTTCAAGGTTGTCTGACTACCTTGTCATCAGTTGCAGCACGCCACAGGGACCCATTTTCGGGATGCTGGTAGGTCCCGGCGACAAATCGTGCACCTTCGTAAGCACAAGGCTGGCGATGCTCGGCACGCCCTCAGCAGCGGTGAACTGCTTACCAACGCGCTGCAGCCAGTGACAGGATAGGGAAAAGCGGAGATTGCAGACCGCCCTTCAAAAAAATACGAGACATCAACGCGCTTCCTCTGAATATATGTACAACATACCAGAATAGTCGACATGAGACTCCACCTATAAATCGAACAGTCACATCAAACAGAAATAACGAACCACGGCTGAGAAAAAGTGTCTCAGGAGTAACACTGACGACGAGAGCAGAGCCGATAATGACGGTCGCGTCCAGGTCGCCTCTGAAGAACTCAACAATGTTGTAGACACATCGAAGTGGTTCAGGGAAACGGCCGAGATCCCACCTCAGGCGCAAGCACTATTAGAGCAGTACTCCGGTCTTGTACCTGAGCAAGTAATCCCGCATGTTACTGACCTGGTAAGTGGCACTAAGCACAGTCATACCCAGACCTATCAATCTTGCTCAGACCCATCTTACCGGCGCTCTGAAGGGAGGAGAGCGACGTGGCCTATCCAATGATACGGCCTTCTTTCTACACGGCCTTGAAAGTTTCGACAAGTTCTGGCAAGACCTTGGAGCTGCCTCTGGGAGCAAATTGAGGGTAGATGCGAGAGCTGAGAAGGCAACGGAAGCGACATTGAGCCTGCCTTGGAGTACGCCTGACGATAAGATGCTTGTCTTTACAGTCAGAAGAGAATAGCGCGCTAGTAAATGGCCGAATAGCAGGCGACGCGATTCTTGCAGCAACCTCTCCACGGGTGGCTAGGTTTTATAGTAGATACATTGAAACCACGGACACTGAGCTCAAACAATCATAACGTGCGCGGAACAAGATATATTTGAGCTGAAAAGTGTAAGAGGACTAGACCAGGTATTCCGCATGATTTCACAGTATTGTTAAAGATCAAAGACCAGGAATCGGTACCTCTGGCGAGAACCTGGCAGAAATCGTCCTTTTTACCAAGTATGCAGTACCAATGGTTGGGGCATATGGTCATACGCATGATAGGAACCTCTTCTTTCCCCGTATCTCTCCTGGAGCGTTTGATCATGACTCAGTCAAAACAGTATTCGATTGTCTTATGGGGGCATGATACCCGAGACTACAAGGAGATGGCATTGGATCCAGTGAGAGGGGGTGACCTACCTTGTCCACCAAACAGCAATGCTTATGCCTAAGTCGAAGTTCATAGCGAAAGAGGATATAAGGTAGAGTTCTAAATTTAGCGACGGGGCAGTGTTAAGGCTGCTGCCGAATAGGAAGTGGTGGAAGTCTAACTACTCTAGTGCTGGTTCCTAGTGCTTAGTCAGTCCACGTTTCACTAGAGTACCTCAGCTGGCTTCAACTGCTTCATTCCACTACAGCCTTCACATCCTTCCTTTTCCATAAGTGTCAGTCACTTTCCTTCTTTCCTTCTTTCTTTCTTTTCCTCCCCATCTTTCCACCTCTCTTTCATTACTTCCTCCTTCATCAAAATATGGACTACCTCAATCAAGCTGCCCAGGCATATGCCCATCAGCAAAGACCTGGCTCTCAGGCCTCGGGTCCCCCTCACCAAGGCCAGCCCCAAGGCCAGGGTTATTACCCACCCCACCAACCTTCTCCACAACCTCATCGCTCCCCTGCTCCACCGCAGAATGCTAACAATGGCCTCCCGCCGGGCTGGATCGAAGAGTGGGACGCGCCAGATAACCGTTACTTCTAGTACGTACTCATAATCCCCTCTCTCGATCCTCAAATGGATTCTTGAAACATTGGGTTGGAGGCACTTGCTCTTCAGACATGAGCCAAGACTCAACATTCTCTTCATCATGAGATGCTGACTTCGAATCAGCATCAATCAGCGTACAGGCGAACGTACCTTCAACCGTCCCCCTGCCCCTCTTCAAGGCCCCCCTCCTTCCGGCCCCAATCATAACCTTCCTCCTGGCTGGATAGCAGAATGGGACGCCCCCGATCGCCGCTGGTTTTTCATCAACCAAAGGACCGGTGAACGCAGCTGGGACCCCCCTCGTGGACCTCCAGCCCCCGTACAGTACACCGCGGTGCATTCAGCTGGGCCGGGACCCATGGGCTCTACATATCAGCAGTCGGAAGTGATCACGCAGGCTCCACAGCAGAAAAACCATAACTTGGCATACGGGGCTGGGGGAGCAGTAGCTGGTTTGGCTGCAGGAGCATTGTTGATGCACGAAGGCCACAAAGTTGGTATGTTCAATACGGCTCTTGCCTATCCCTGTGTTCGCCTCCGAGACACCATGACTAACACTTTTGTCTCATGATAGAGGAGCACTGGGAGGGAGACAAGCATAAGTTCGAAGACGACTTCGAAGGCCGCCGCAATTATGGAGACGAGGAACGTCGTGGATATGGTGGAGGTGGGTATGGCGGCCGTGGTGGGGATACAATCATTGAGAATCAGACTTTCATTGACGATAACGATCGCTATGGTGGTGGATACCGCCGTGGAGACGACACCGTAATCGAGAACGAGACTATCGTCAACGAAGACAACTACGATGATCGTCGCGGCAATGACACCATCATTCAGAACGAGACTATCGTCGATGATGACCGCTACGGAGGCGGCCAAGATTACAATGGAACAACCGTGGTGCGAGATGATGGATACGGCGATGACGGCTACCGCAGGGACGAATACAGAGACGATGGCTTTGTGGACGATGCCGCTCGATGGACCGGGGATAAGGTATGCTGCCACTTGTGCACGTCGCCTATCAAGTATTTGCTGATGATTTCCATTTAGGTACAAGAAGTTGAAGATATTCCGGATGACGCCGCTCGATGGACTGGGGATAAGGTGCGCTTGCACTTAGGCACGTCGCTTATCAAGTATCTGCTGATGATTTCCATTTAGGTACAAGAAGTTGAAGATATTCCGGATGACGCCGCTCGATGGACTGGGGACAAGGTGCGCTTGCGCTTAGGCATTTGACTTGCCAAATATTTGCTGATGATTTCTGTTTAGGTACAAGAAGTTGAAGACATTCCTCAAGACATCGAGGGCGCTTTTGATGAAGGCCGTGATGACCGTGAGAGCTACGACGACGACCGCTACTGAGCGACAGCTACAGTTCGCGCTGATCACGACCATTCACCTACCATGCTATTTTTTTCAAGCGGGATAAAAGCGATTTACAATGTGGTTGCTGCCATTGATATCCCAGAATCCCTAGTATGCTCTTCCTGCCAGAAGATATGAAGCTCAGTTTGATTGGCCCTTCACGCGGTTTCTTTTACTACCGCAAGGTGATGAATGACTTGAACGAATCGCCCCCTTTTCTCCGAGGCCGCCATGCCAGCATTTCGCTGAGTTCGTCCCTTCAGCCCACTTTGAGGTAAATCCACAAATCGGCAGGTGGGTCCACCTGTCTAGAATATGAATTTGCGTGTGAGATATACCCCTCGACGAGAGCACGCGAGCTCCTCCCATCGTAAGCGTATCGCATAGTCAAGACTGTATTGCAATAATTGTGTCGAAGACGCAAACGGAGGTAAATGATCTAGCAAGACCAGAATGTTGCGGTAGTTCCTGATGCATTTTCTTCGGGTCGCTACTTCGTGGACCTGATCAAGCCAGCCACGCCACAAGTCATGAATCGACTTCCCCGCCCAGTATGTTCTCGATCCGCTGCATTTTGTATTATTATTTGCTGCTCTGTATAGATCCATTGATCATGTCTAGCGCACTCCCAGCACTCGACCAATCATGTCTGTCGGCTTTAAAAGCATTGGCAAGCCACCAACAACGCTTAGTCAAGGACTTAGGCAAGCAACCCCACTCCCAGTAAGGAGACATGTTTGGTACATATAATGTCTTGAATGCGATTAGGTGTAGACCTGGTTTGAAACTCCCATTCCTGCGATTCATCTTTTGTATTCATAGCCCGTTGGTCGCTGTCTTCATTCGTTTCTCCTCCGTGAAAAAGGAGTAGCCCAATCTGCTCACATTCCGCTCCGAATGCCCAAGATGGCCAACATGAAGGCCGTCGTCCTCCACCACCCCGGACCCCCTGGATCCCTCAAACTCGAAACCCGCCCAATCCCCACACCGAACAAAGGCCAAGTCCTCATCCAAATCAAAGCCTTCGGCCTCAACCGCTCCGAACTCTTCACCCGTCTCGGATACTCTCCGAACGTCAAACTCCCCCGCATCCTCGGCATCGAAGCCGTGGGCCTCGTCCACGAAGCGCCCGGCGGCGAGTTCGAAAAGGGCGACGTCGTCGCGACGTGCATGGGCGGCCTGGGGAGAGAAGTCGATGGCGGGTACGCGGAGTTTACGCTGGTGAAGGCGGAGTACGCGCGGGCCGTCCGGACGGAGTTGCCGTGGGAACGTCCTCGGTGCCCTGCCGGAGATGCTGCAGACGTCGTGGGGTGCGCTGAATCGGAATCTGGGCATCCGAGAAGGCGAAACGCTGCTGATCCGGGGCGGTACGACGTCTGTGGGCCTCGTGGCGGCGGCGATCGCGAAGAGTCAGGGGCTGGTTGTGCTGGCGACGACGCGGAGAATTGATAGGGAGGGGTTGCTTCGCGCTAGTGGCGTTGATCATATTGTTGTTGACGAGGGGTCCGTTGTTGGAAAGGTGAAGGGGATCTTTCCCGCTGGCGTTGATAGAGTCCTAGAGCTGGTCGGGTCAACGCTCACGGATTCGGTTCGCTGCGTGAGGAAAGGTGGGAAGGTTTGTCAAGGTGGGGGTGGTTGGAGGGAACAATGCGGATAGTGCGGATGATGCGTTGCCGGATGGGGCGACGTATGCGTTCTATGGCGGGGAGCAGGAGGATTTTCATGCGTTGCCGCTGGAGAAGCTGCTGGGGCAGGTGCGGGATGGGAGCCTGCCGGTGCAGATTGGGAGGAATTTTCGGTTGGAAGAGATTGTGGAGGCACATCGGGTCATGGAGGAGAATACTGCTGGGGGGAAGATTGTGGTACTCACGTAGGTGATCAATATGGGAAGGTTGGGACATTAGTTTTTTATTTTTGGCGGTCAATTGAAAGAGGTGTGCCGCAGAAACTTTGGCAGGGATTTGCCCTGACAATCTTCAAAGAAATTGGAAAGTCGGGCAGGCTGGCGTATGATACAATTGAATCGCTTTCAATGTTTATGTGATTAAAGATCTTTCCTCTGCTCTCCGTTTTGGTGCGTGAGAACGAAATCTAGTCTTGAGACGAAAAAAAGTAGTGCATCTAGTCGGGTTGCATGCGTCTATCCCACACGTGCTCTAAGATCCTGTCGCATATTCATCGCTTGCCAGCGCGGTTGACTTTCTCCCAATCCTGCCCAAGATCCAACTCGCTTGCCTCGTCTTGGTCCTCCTTTTTGGCTTCCTCTTGCTTCTCCTCATTTTTGGCTTCTTCTCGAACCTTTTTCTCCTTTGCTTCCGCGGCTGCCGCGTCCTTCTTCGCTTTCTTCTCTTTCTTCAATGCCTGGATATCTCTCTTGACCTTGTTTACTTCTGCCTTACGCTGATCTTTAGTGAGACTTTTGAGCTGGGCGATGGTAAAATTGGCTGAGAAGTTTTGCTTGGTTGAAGGCGAGATCGTGGAACCGTTATCGTTGTCAGGAAGTACGCTGAATCGTGTTCCCTGCATGTCAGAGGCTGCGGCGGATGCTACAGAACTGTCAGCTCAGAGTGTCTTAATGATAGACCTCCGCCAGGACACTGGCCTTCTGCCTGCCTTTTTGTCGCACGCGTTTGTTCTTTGGCGTTGGACTGATTTCGCAGAAGATCGCGATGCTCTGCTAGTCGGTCGTAATCCTGGCGAAACTTATATGGGCTATCGCCGGCTGGATCGTATTCGTCTGAGAGTAGGAACTTGAGATATCGTTCAGAGGCCATATTGAATCTTCTCTTTTGCGAAATTTGTTACAAAGCAAACGATAAAAGAAGGCGCCGTGGGGATGGCTTTTAAAGTGATGAAGCGCTTGTTTCGCGTTTGCTGGACATGAGTGAACAAAGGCAAGAACATTCTCGTTTGAGCTGGATCGCGGAGGGCGAACATTCTGGTGGTAGCCGCCAACCTTTCAAAGCATCTCACAATATCGATGAGTGATAGCTAGGATGTCAAAAAGGGTTAAGACAGCATCATGAAGGTTGTAACATGCTGGCTAGGTAGTGACTATATCAGCCTTGTAAGTATTAGGGTCCATACCGTTCACTGTAATTCAGTCAACGTAATGTCACAGTATCAGGTGACAAAAATCTGGATAAATGGTCTTCTTAGTGAAGCCGGATACATGCAGTATGATCAGAGCTCGTAAACGGTCTGCTGTTCAACTTTTGCCATAATCCGTCGATATGAGGATATTAATCATGGATGAGGCCAATTCCACCAAACTTTTGGAGAACAAAATGCTGAGTAATTTCTTTCTATCCGTTTCCTGCCCTGGGCCAAATAATTACCAACTATCTCCGCAAGCTATCGTAGCTGTTTCTTTTAGTCGCCCAATCCATTCAAGCCAGCAGGGTCGATTTCACAAGCCTTGGCGTGGATGCCTTTCACGCAGGCTGCGAAAGGGTATATTTCTCTCCAAACCTTGCTGGACGTCCTCCACAAGCGACACCACCACCTCAACCCAATATAGATACATTTCCGATGGCCACGGAGGATATGCAGAAAAACTTATCGGCCAAAACACTCAGAACGAAGAACAATCGCGGCCACAGTCGTATAAAACTCTCTTTGTCAGGGGGCAAATCTGGGCTCACAGGCATGGCGAAGCCGCAAACTACTCTTTTCATGTTTGATGCGGCTCGGCAGCCACAGGCAGAGGAGTCCACGCCTTTTGAGGTCCTACGGTGTGACCATGCAGGTAGCCGACGCGACCAAACCGTCCCTCAAGCCACCCAGACTTGTGCTGCGGGCTGAATCACCATCCTTATCTCCAGGAGATGCGGCGGATGACATTGGTACGGGTGCTGTCATCGCACCTTCACTCGTCGCACATCACAACAAGCTGAGCCAATCGAAACTACCGAAGCTGGGCTTCGAGAGGCTCGGGCTTGCCGGGACACGGTGGCTGGCTACCAGCCAGAGCTCCCCTCCAACGACCTACCTGGGCTCCCTTCTCGCCAAGGGAGAGAAACAAGTCCCGCCTGTCTGGATGCCTGTTAGCCCGACCAACCGCCCCTTTGAAATTTTGGGCAAAAAAGGCGAGTCGAGCAAAACCCAATATCTTCGCACAGCCCAAGAAGAAGTCCATATTGCGAAGGTGAAAAGCTGGATCAGTTCTATCGCTCCTCGTGGTAAAGACAAGGACGCAGCACGAACGCTGAGCGCTCATTCTTCAACTGGAACACAGCCAGGTCGAGGTACAAAAGCCACAGACATGGACGGGGCTCTCACTGTAGAAGGTCCCTTCAGTTTGAGGAACGGTTTGGCACGTCTGTCTCTTGGGCCCTCAATGAAGTCGATTTCTGCACCGGAAAAGAATACCAAAGTGCAGTTGTCAAGGGATTGGAACGTGAGTGGCATCGGAAACTATACGCCAAAGGACTTGAAAAAGGATCCAGTATTCGGGCGATTTCCTGGAGCCAAGACGAGCACTTTGGAGGGTAATGCTGAGACGAAGGCTTTCGGCTCCACAACGAAGGAGCTCAATGCCGCTGTTTCTGAGACGGAGAGTGCGAAAGAAGGCGATTCTCTGCCTGGGGTCAGAGAGAGAAAAGTCACGGGCAGACTAGAACAAAGTGCTGGCCAGGAAGATGCTAATGGTCAGGAGCCGCGCGGACCAAAGAACGCTGTTGTAGACAGCCGGCGGGAACCTAGGGGCATTGACCCACGTGGGACAGACCAGAGTGTTCAGACCAATGGCCGAGATGGCGAATCTGATCAAATAGTCAAGGCCGACTCAGCTGCTGAGAGCAGCGGCCAAGACAGTACATCTCGTCCGTCGCCCGAGGAAGTGGCGCAAATGGAAGCATCATACGTGTCCCCTTACTCCCTGAGGAGAGCATTCAGTCGCAAGGATGTTACTCCCAAGAAAAAGGAAATCCCCCCCTGGAGCCTCCGATATCGCAAGGAGTGAGGGAAATTGGTGACCTGCGTCCGGATGAGGCGACGAGGGTTGGACTTGTGTTACCTAGCGGTTTCCGGAGTTGTATGAAGCGGATGGAAGGATTAGAGACATGGTAGGCAGGAGAGGAGAGATTCTAACTCTGTGACATTATGGAAGCGGAGACCAAGGCGCTACCTTTGGATGGATCTGTAGTAAGAATTGGAATTTTTCCTGCTACATAGGGGAATTCCTTCTGGTTTCTAGAGCTGGAGGTCAATCGTTTGGCTCTATCCTGTTTCGTCCAGACTTCTGATATTTTGATGAGTATGATGAATTAGTATCAAAAGGATTGATGTTTCGGGTGAAACAAATTAGCCAGATTTCGTGGATCATTTCGAACTACTTTACCAATGCTAATCATGGAGGAACGTGGAGAGGATATGAAGAGAGGGGTGCGAGCGGTAGTACTTGTGATGGTTGCGCCAACGCCAAGCAGTGCAGGAAGTATGCCGAGCAAAAGCCTCGCTGCGTCTCATGAAGCGGTCAAGTGAGTCCATTGCCCATTCTTCTACAGATCCTGGCACATGCAACATAAGAGGAGATCCTGGCTATGCCGCAGTTTGTTTGCTTCACCCCTCGGGTCTTCGGACGTGATCATCATCGCGATGAAGGAGATTCATAACATACTGATGTGCCCGAATCCGAACGCCACTTCGGAAACGGTCGCACGGGTTGAGAGATAACGGTTCGTAGTCGCGTCTTCAATGTCACGAGGCGAAGACTGCGTCGAGATGCTAAATGTATGTCCAGCTTTGATCTGTGAGCAGTATCTGTCCTAGTAGTCTTGAGTCCCTCAATATTATGAAAAGGACTGTGTAAAAGAAACCAGTCTACCGGAGGCAAGGTTGAGGTGGAGGTGGGGGCGGGAGTGGGAGTGGGGGCGAGGGTGGGAACCCGGGCGGGAGAAATGGAAGAGTCAACATTACTTTGCTACGGCAGCTGCTTCCTGGAGTGAGAACTGAAAGCGAAACGAAATGGTTGCTGCTTGGGCGATATCTCAGGTACCAGATTCGTACCAGATTATAGCAGTGGAGAGAGCGTACAGAAGTGGTAAAAGAAGATTCTGGGTGAATGTGCAAACAGTCCTAACTGTCCACTCTTGTGGGACCCGTGCGAAGCCGTCTGTTCCATATGCAAAAACAGGTATGTATGCTGTCATGGATACACTCACATCATCTCCGATCCGTCCTTGGTCTCGAAGCCAATGAGGAAGCTGGGCTCATCATCGTGCATCTTGAAGGGGCCGTATACGGCGGGCACGCCTTCGTCTGACATTGATTGGCCGTCTTCGACGGTGGTGTTGTCCGCTCTGTATAGGGCACAGTCCTCGGAGTGCCGGTCGGAATAAGGCGTACCAAACTCCCATGCTCGAGAGTCAATGGCGTTATGCGTGAACTCCTCAATCGACTCATAACTGGGTGGGGGAGGGCTTCTGTCTACCAGGTCCAAGTACCGACAGAGTTGACGGTGAGGGAGGTGTGTAAAGACATGTTGGAAGGTTGCGACTCGGAAACGAAAGTCCCGCACGCTAAGACCCCTACGCTAAGTTCTCGGATAATGCCCCGCCTGAAGGATTGCGTGGAAAATAATAATGCGCCGACATGAGCTTCGCAAAGATCCCAGCCCAGACTTGGGCCGAACAAAATGCCCGGTTCACGCGCTAAACTGAACGCTGAAATCCAATTGGATCGCTTCTAGGAGATAGTTCCAGGACCGTCTACTGGTACTGCAGGGCTGCCTTTCGGTGCTGTATAATTATCGCGAGCCTACTTAGATAGCCGGGCTTACGCCCCCAATAATGCTCAGTCATTTCTACCACGATCACACTGGAAGAGGACCTTTTCGAAATGCAAGTGAGGCCTGTGTGGGGGACGGCAACTTCTACTTGAATCCTAGCAAAATATAGCTGGGTGAATAAAAAGATGGTGTCCTAGTTTTATTATGTCGTACTGCGGCAAGGCTTTGCATGAGCGCCAAGACGACAGGGAACGCGTAACAAGGCTGAGAATTTCGCTTAGGCAATTTTCTCCCCAATCGCATCTCCTCGTGATGATGATCTCTATCTCCCACTTCAAAGCATCATCATACGTACTCTCGTATTCCACGGTACCCTTCCATTGAAACCATAAGGAGGCTTGCTGTGCCTTCTGTGGACCTGGTCACTGCTCTTCGCTCTTTCGCCCTGTGCTGAACATAAGCAGAGGAAGATCGGACGCCAGCCCCCACTGAGGAATGTAGTCTAGACCATTAGGCCTACCATCTGGTTGACGCTCCGATAGGACGCCATTTACATGCCATATTTCAAAAAGCGCTAGTAAGATCGCGGACTTCTGACGGTGTCTGCCTCTGAGCCCGGCAAAACGGTCACATCCCGTTCAGCTGTGATTTCCGCCCCATTCAGCGCCGTTAATAGGAAATTTTACGCGGGTGCAACATTGCTGCAGCACGGTGCACTCTCGTGTAACTGCATCTATATTCAAATTTCCAGACAATGGAGGCGGTTATCCACATTCCATGCACGAATTGCGGGTGAAGGCTCTGATGTGACATTTTTCATCTCCATCTCGCGTTCAAAATTCGAGGTCTTTCCCAGACACCTGCAACTTTTCATCAACTGGGGCCCTCGCACTGCAATCCTGGCATTATTCTAAACGCAATTGCTGTCTCCAGTCGTTACTAGTCTTTGTACCAACTCACAATGTTCCGCCTTCTTTCCGCCGTCGCTCTCCTCTTGCCCCTGTTCCCCACACTCATCACCGCCCAATGTGCCGCCTGTGATTCCTACACCGCCGCGCTCCAGTCGTGCCAGACCACCAGCGCCAACGTCACCGCAGTCGGCACCACGATGGATTCCACTACCCTTCACTGCATGTGCACCTCCAACTCCGGCGTTACCGAAATGAACGCGTGCCGAGGCTGTGAGGATTCAAACCCAAGTACGACCATGGATGTCACGGTGCTGGCCGCATGGACATTGACTTGTACGGCCGAAGGCCAGTTCGGTGACCAGCAGGCTGAGGCTTGCTGGAATAGCCAGCCGGATAATGTCGGGCCATGTGTCTCGAAAAGTAGTGCAGGTGAAAGTGCAAGTGCAGGTGGCGATACGATTTTTTCAACGAGCAGGTAGGTCTTCTAGGGCTTTTCTAAGATCTTCGTCATCTGATATCATCCAGTCAATCTGCGACGACATCTCCAACAGCGACCTCCAAGTCGGACGCGATGCTGTCTTTGCAGGCGCCTGGCTTACTTTCGGTCTTGGTTGTTGGACTCGGCATGGCGATTGAGCTCTGAAAATCTTTCATGGACCGAAAACCTACTGTGGCCTGTTAGAGTCGTGGGAAAGAGTTCTTTGTCAACCTTGTATAATACCTAATGAACTAATGATGTGGCGATGGCTCCTGCTGAATTATGTTACGTGTACAATGGATGCCAACTTGCCTCCTTGGGATCCGTCTATTCGGGAGACTCCCAACATATAAAAAATTGACATGCTAATGAAATGTGCCTGCTAGCAATACAGTGTCGATCGCAACGAGGTACTAGTTGTTCTTAGATGGAGTCTGCTGTCTGCGGCTTGCACGAAGCATGGTAGTTCAACCTTGACAACATGTTCTCATACAAAATTACGGCCATCAGTGAAGTTATCTTCTCTGGTGTTGTGATCGCCGTTACATTCCCTCTTAGATGTCATGGGTAGAGGGAACAAACTTGCCAACTTCAGAAACAAGACGTTAAGTACCACGTCTTGTAAATAACAGTTGCTTTGCTAGCGGCGTCTGAAATTCAGTAGTTCTCGGCCATTCTCCTCGCTAGGAGTATTTCTCCATTTTGTCAAGCAATCACTGATTGCAACGTGTTGTATCATGATATCTTGACTTGCTGGAAGATAACTTCTCGCAGACCTACCCGTCTACTCTCTCCGACTCACGCCTTAGTCCTTCGATTTTGACGTGGCCCACGACGCCCCACTGCTTTCACCGTATGCCGAAGCCCACAGGATCTGAACCAGAATTGGGCTCTCAGCATGTCAGCGCGATCGTTAGCAGCATTGGCCTTAACGCCAACGCTTCTAACTGAGTACACCTTCAGCATTGTCTCCAAATTATACCTTCTTGGCAAGAAGCAAAGTGCGTGGACCCGAATGAAGAATTCGAAAAGCACAGAAAGAGCCAGAAGCGTGTCCTCCATGCTGCGTCCCGATTACCGAAGTAAAAATTGTTATTCTTGTTCTCGAAACTCCGTCGGAGAAGCTCAGCTCCTGTGCGAGGTGGAACCAGCTATCACGTCACGAATTTGGAGCGATACCATTCATGCGGGTGTTGCAATAGTTGTCTTGTGTGATATTCATTCGTAATATTTCTCACGTTTCATTCGGTAGCTTAGCAAATAATCTTAGAGCTTTTATCGGTCTCTTTTTGACCTAAGCGCTATATGCGCCGATAACCACGCAGAATAGGCTTCGTGTGACTAGAAAATATGTTTCATATAGGGCGTTGCAGCTTGTCGCGATTGTGGTCGTGCCCTTTGCTCACATTTGCAATCGAGATGTATAATGTAGCCTTCTATCCAAGCTAAAAACAATGATTGCATACCAAGAAACGAGATGACGAAAAGTTGGCGTGGGCGTGGGCGTGATCGTCAACAAGGCCTACGGTTTAGTCCAGTCCCAAGCAACCCCAAGTCTCGAGCGCACTTTTCCAGAGTCCGAGGCTACGCTAACTACATGTCCGGCCACGATATCCTCAAACTGCCTTCCTGCTATCAGGTTGAAAGATCTTTTATCAGACCAAGAATGCAGTTTCTGTATGAATGAATTTACTAGTAAGGGTTATTAGCAAGGGTTATTTAGTCAAGCTTACGTGAGCACTTGTACGCTTAGAGAACACATAGACTATAACGCGCTGGGACTTTCATCTGGTGTGGTAGAACTGTGTGCTTTGGGAGGCATTTGAGCTTTTTACTCGAGCGTATCAGGATTGAAAGTACTGGAGAAGTGTTCTGTGTCTTATTTGCCAATATCTTGACAGCCAGTAACCATGTGCAACCCAGTCCGCACGCCTCCCGGGAAGTCCCTTCGCGTTCATAGGGGCTTCAAACTGTGTCCTTTTCTTGATCTCCAGAATCCGAAGAACCCTCGCGTGAAGAGCTTTCTTGTTTATGCTCAGCCGTCAGATCATCGTGATTGCCGCCCATCTTGCCATCTACGCAGTTCCGCTTGGAGAACCTGGCGAGCTGTCGGGAAAGTCAAAACTGGTCATATATATAGCTCTCTGCATAAAGGCAAGACATACTTCTTACTTCCAATCCGATGTATCCCATGACCGACTCAGGCCTAGTTCTGGGACTTCATTGGTGGGTGCAGGATTGTACGGAGCTGGGTCATATGCTCTGATAAAATTAGGGCGCTCATTGACCTTTTCAATGTTTCTGTCCTCCGAATCTCCCGCCTCTTCCTCTGCTTTGTCGTCATCCATATGACTGCGTATACTGTTTATAAGTAAGGCCATAGTCGCACTATAGAGACCGTGAATGGTAACACCGTATTTGTCGACTTTCTTCACGACCGAAAATTCGCCATCCATCCTCGTCGGTTTCACACGTTTCCTTAAAATCGACAACAAACTGGAGAAGCAGTCTAAGGATGAAATCAATATTTCCTATCTCGCTATTGTCACTGAACATTTCTGTGTCGATGAGGTGGTCGACGATCGTTAAGATTGCTGTGCCGATAAGCATCACGCGCTTTGCGTTGGTCTTTGAGTCGTCGATGTCTGGGTAAAGCCCCTCAGTATAAGCGAGTAGACTAGAATAATTTATACTTACGATATCACTTGAAGTTTTCTTGGTTTAGGAACCTTGCCATGCCTTTAATGTGCGCCTATGTCACCCAAATGTTCTTGCTCTTGCTCTTGATTACTTTATCAAACGCGCACAACTGCAACCGTCAGTTAAATAGTTTGAGTAGTAGCAGTAAGGAGGTATAGGCACCATGTTCTCCACAACCTCCCCTGTGCCATACCCGCTGTAGTCATTGTAGGTAAGGACATCGAAGGTATTTTGCATCGCGCTTCACCTGTTCCACGCGCCATGCTCGACAGAGGTCAGCGCCCTTCTTCGTCATGATACACTTGTGTCCTTGGTTCTCGTTCGCGATTCTTATGCACATACGCTCCGACGACGCGTTGCATCGGTGTCGTACTGCATCTTCGCAGATACATGTCTAAGTTTTCCGACCAGCGTTCGCCGCGACCCTGACCGTCTTGCCTGTTGATGCGGTTGCCTTCCGAGATCTTGCCGTTGGTTCCGAGGCTTCTATACCTAGGTAAACAAGCGGTGATAATCATGGAACCCGGTTAGCTACATTATGGATCGGGGCTACTGTGGCTAAAGTCGGACTGCTGGTTTTCCCAGCGCTCGCTCTGCTGGTTGCTTTCCTTTTTGGAGAGGGTCGGACCGAGAATTGGGTGATACGTCGGCAAAGACCGCTAAA